ACCTCGCCAACTACTTGCACAAGTATAGCGCAAATTATGTGGAAATAACACCGCAATTGTCTAATCTCCTTAAAAGAAGAATACGTAATGGTGTTGGGACACCGGGCATAGAGAGGCTTTTGAAAGGGTCAAAGACATTCTCCTTCATGGACCAATACTGACGTTTCCAGATCCCGATCGTCTTTTCAGTGTCGTCTGTGACGCATCGGACTACGCCATCGGCTGTGCACTGCTGCAAGCAGACGCCGAGAGGCGAGATCAGGTGATCGCGTTCGAATCTCGCCAGCTTAAGGCTGCTAAAAAAACTACTCAACGCACAACAAGGAATAACTTACGATGAAGTATGCACTTGTCAAGTTCAGGGTGCACCTGCTTGGCTGAAAGCCATTAGTGTCACAGATCATGCATCATTACGCACTGCGACTCAGTCGCCTCACCTCTCGCACAGGATGATTAGATGGCTCTCATTCTTTGCAGGATAAACCTTCGAGGTGAAGTTTAAGCCAGTAGAATGCTTTGACCGATGCGTTGTCACGCAGAACGTATTATGAGCTTGATCATGTCACGTCGGTGACGTCGTCAGTGACGGATTTGACCCGCGCCGCATACGCGGGTGATGGTATGTGTGTAGCGCTGCTATAGGCTCTCGGGGGCAAGGGGGTTTGGAAAGTCGGACGAGATATTGTCGGCGCGATTGCGCGCTCGGTTGCACCGATATTCGTTAAATAACGTGCTGCTGTATTATAGCGCCGATTCGACAGATACGCCACGGATTGTGGCTCTTCACGCTGAGGATTTGAAATACCGTATCCTCTATGAGGTGCATGATACCCCAATCAGTGGTCATCTCGGTCGTGAAAAGACGTACAGCTCGGTGAGTTGCCACTATTGGTGGCCCAAGCTGTACAAGTGGACGAGCACATATGTGCGCACATGTGAGACATGTCAAAGGGTGAAACTCTCCTTGAATGCGGCGGCGCCGCTGGTCAGTTTGCCGGTTACATCTGTGTGTGGTAGTTCATGAGTATGAACTTTGTGTTTGGTCTACCGAAGGACTCGTCAGCAATACGGATGTGGTGGTCTTTGTAGACTGTTTAAGCAAGATGGCTCATTTGTGGCAGTGCCGGAAATCATCGACGGTGTGAGTGCAGCGACACTGTTTGTGGATCGTGTCTTTCGACAACATGGACTCCTGGAGTCAATTGCTCTGATAGAGACCTACGCATCACTGGGAACTTTTGGTTCACAGTCTTCAGGGTGCTGAGCATCAATTTTGACTATGTCAACAGCGGACCATCCACAGACCGATGGTCAAACTGAGCGCGTGAATCGCGTCGTTGAAGACGTTCTTCGCGGCGTCTGCGCTAAGTCGCCAAAGCGCTGAACCGCCATGCTGCCACTCGTAGAGTTTGCTCTAAACAATGCAGTGCATTCATCTACCAGCTACACGCTGTTCAGCGTGCACGGGCTTGTTAATTCTCGCGTACCGCTGATGCCGCGATCCCATGCATGGCTCAGGGCTTGGTGGGGGAGAAATAGCCAAGCCACTAGCTGATGTCAGCCTCCTCTCTGTCCGTAAAGAAGTCGATGACTTCCTTTCATCAGACTGATTGTTCTTCGACACGTTCGCGATGCGATGACTGAAAGCCAAGACATGCCGAAACAATATATAAAAAAGGAAGGAGAGAAAGAAATGTTAAACACACTGAGGTTGGAGACCTGGTTTTATTAGCTAACAACCTTCCTACACATACACTATCTGCTGTCTTTTAGACAAAGCTTCGCCCACTGTTTAATTGACCTTTTAAGGTCGTGGCCAAGCGATGCCTTGCGTATATGCCAAACCTTATGAGAAGGATGGGCACCCAGCCGATGTTTTATGTGGGCTTACTGCAGCCGTACCGGGAACCCGCGCAAGTGAATGCGGAAGCCACCCAGAAGCTGAACCAGCAGCTGTTTCTGAGCTCGGAGTGCAACAATTTCCGTTTCCAGTGGCGAAAGGCGCTCCACCGTCGGACGAAGTGACGTTTTCATCTGCTCGACGGCTAGGAGCTGCTCTGACAGAGCGCGATAATTCTCAACGTGAGGCAGACGGTGCACAAAGTGCCCCAGGCTCTCGGGTTCTTCCGTACAGCGGTTTGCAACCTAAGAAAGATGCTCGGCAGAATGCCAATGACGACGGACTTTGTCCTCCAAAGTTTGAAGAGCATCGATAGTTACCGGACAGCGATCGACAAAGTCGTCATCGTTCCCCGCCGACTCTTCTCGATGAGAATGGTGGCGTCCACTATCACGCGGAACGCCTTTTAGGTCGACACCCTTGACAGGGTCAAGCCCAATATCTTGCAAAGCGGCGGGGATACCCCGACTCCGAGAACTCGTGGCAGCGATGAGCACTCAAAAGCCGAAAAAAAGCAATTAAGACATGCTACAGCGTGTCGCAGATAGCTAAGTGTATCCTTTCATATCGACAGCGTTACAGCAACTCATTAGAATAGAGAATAGAAGGCTGCTATTCGACAAGAAGCCATTGTATGTGTCTCTTAATTGTTGTCATGTAGTAGCGGCATGCCGTTGATACAATGAAGCATCCGGTGCACTGACGTGGCGATTGATGAGGACTGCTCATCAACACATTTTCAGCAAGGACGAGCACAAAGAAAACGTGCAAATGCAATATATGACAGACTACAGTGTGTCACGGCTAGCCAAAGGCATCACTTCCATCGATAACAACCGTCAGTAAAGGCGACCAACTTTCAATATGGAGACGTCATATGCGTTGTATAATAATTGTCAGCTAAAAGTCGCAATACAAACAGCCTTATGGTGCTTTGACGCCGCGGTCGATGATGGCATACTAAAACGTCGTCGACAACAGCGATGAGAATGCATAAAAATTGTAAATGCAATGACAGACATGCTACAGCGTGTCACGGATAGCTAAACGCATCCTTTTTATTAACAGCAAATTCAAAGCGACTCATCAGCCTAGACGACAGCTGTTCGACACCAAGCTGTTGTATGTGTTTCCATTTTTATTTCAAGGTAATAGCGGCATGGAGTGAATACAAATATACTCCTGGTGCACTGACGCTTCAATGGATGATGACTGCCAGTCACCACGTTTTCAACAGGAACGAGCACGCATTATTTGGCGTAATCGCAAGTGGTGACATGCTAAGGCGTGTCACAGATAGTTAGACGCATCAACTCTATAAACAGCAATGACAGCAGCGACTCATTTGGCTAGACGTGAGGAACTCGAAATGGAGCGGTTATATGAGTTTTGAATTTATTACCATGTAGAGCGGCAGCATGAAAATAACCAGCTTGTGGTTAATTGATGCTGCGATTGATGAGGGAGACTATCACCACGGTATATAAAATGATATACCTAGCCGTTGTAGCATGCCTTCCTCTGAATTGATACGGATTATGCGTGCTCGATATTGTTGAAAATGTATCAATCGGCTTGCCTCATCAAACCCAGCGTCAGTTCAACTCAAGGTCGCTTGTTTATGTTGCCTCGATGCATCTATTGAGATGCCAGTTCACTGCAAGACCGCTTGTATACACGTAATGCAGCCATGGGCTTGTCACGAATATGCATCGGATGTGACTCCTTTAAGTCAAACAGTTGTTGTCAAAGCTCATACTCCGCTGTTATCATGTTGTTGCCTTATAACGCGGCGTCTAGCTGTTTGCAACACGCTTTTGTACGTATTTTATTGCATTTACACGGGTGATGGGTTCCTATAGCTGTTGACACCTCAGTGATAATCTGTCCACATCTATTGAAATGACAGTCGACTACAGGATGGCTTTTATACTACTCTCGAATATGCATCGCATGTGGCGAGTTAATGTTGAACAGCAGTGGCCGGAACTAGTGATCGTCTGTCGTCCATGCTGTTGCCATAAAACGCGACGGCTAGCTGTTTGCAACACGGTGTAGCACGTCTACTATTGCATTTATTGGGTTGATGTGTAATGACAACTACTGATAGCTTGGTGATAAGCTGTCTATATCTATTGCACTGAAAGTATACCGTAAGACTGTTTCTATACATAACATGCAGCTCTGAGCTTGTTACAAATATACCGAGAATTGGAAAGCTTTGCATTGATCAGTTGTGGCCGAAGCTTATGATCCGCTGTCGTTCGTGCTGTTACCTTAAAATGTGGTGTTTAGCCCCTTGCAACATGGTGTGGTGCGTATTCATTTGTAACTGCGCTGTGGATGCGTTATAACAGGTGTCGACAATTTGGGGATATCTACAGCAATGACAATACACTACAGAGCTGCTTGTGTACGTGTCATGCAGCCATGTGCTTGTCACGAAAGTGTGATGCATAATGGTTGACCAGTTGTGGCCGAAGCTAATGATACGCTGCCGTCAAAGCTGTTGTCTAAAAATTCGGCGTCTAGCTGTTTGCAGCACGCTCAAGTACGTCTGCTTATGCATTTACGCGATTGATGGGTAATCACGGCTGTTTACAGCTTTGTGATAATATGACTAAAAATTTCTAAATCACAATGCATAGCAGAACCGCTTGTATACATCTCATACAACTCTAACTTGTCATGAGTGTCCAATTGTGTCGGCTTTAAGCTAAACAGTTTTTGCCAACGCCGACGATACCATGTCATATTTGCTGTCGCCTTTTAACGCGGTATGAAGTTTTACATTACGTCGTAGCACGGCTTCTAATGTTGCTACGTTATTACAAATGTTGGCCACGTTATAATAGTCTGTTTCTATCATTCAAAGAGACAGTGCTCCACGAGACTGCTTTATACACTTCATACATTGCTTTCTCCTACGTAAGCGCTTAAGAAACGCCACACACACCGACTACGTACATGCCGTGTTTGTCTTCGACCCTCTGTCCTTTGCTTTGGCTACTCCGAATTCGTTCGTGACTCCAACACACGAAGACGCTTCGAGGCCTCGCCACAATACAAGTTTCCCTTTGCAATTATTGCTGCCATCGAAATGTCCGTATAGCCGTTCCATCTACACAAACGAAGACTACCTCGCCATTCGACAGATTTTAGCCTTCATTTCCAGATTTCTCATGCGTAACGCGTTTGGTTGAGAATACATGATAACCACATCCCAAGGAAGTTACGAGTATGAGTTTAGTAGCTAAGAACTGCAGTTGCAACTCGCCGTGTATTTAGGTACAATTTGCGTTGCGTAGCTTACGGTTTAAACTCTCCTGACTTTGTGTGTAAAAACTCTTAAAGATCGCGTTTGTACTTTACGCAGACAGTCATCCGTGTTTTCTCACCAGACTTCAGAGGTTTATTAGTTTTTGGTCGGACTAGTTCTCTCTAGCAAGCCAATACGACCGTTTATCGTGGCGTGTTCTTCTCACTGGTCGCGCGTTTGCCATTAAACTCTGTGAAAGAAACTCTAGGTGGTTGGTATTCCTACCACAGTCGATCTGTCATGCTGTAACTACTACAAAGCTCTTGCGCCACCCCCACCAGCTGTTGGTGCAGCTTATTGCATCGATGTGGGTCACAGCTAAACTTGGAGCAGCTGAACATAACAGAGACAAGGTGGAACTATGGAGAAGATGTTTACATCTGGGTCGCGCTCTCGGCTTTGTCCTCATCCCTCGTCAAGTATTGGCATGTTTGCATTCAGACGTGTCTCTTTGATGTCTTGGGTAACAACATCTGTTCAACGTACCTAACCATAACACATATATTCAATTGGTCGGTTAATTGCAACGTACGACCTGTAGATATCATGGCTATCATTTCCACGGCATGCTCAAGTCACGAGCCTGCACTGTATAATCCAACACAGTCTCATGCCCACCTGAATTATACAAGCCGGACGGCAAGCCACTACAAGACATTCCTTTGCGAGGACGATAATCCAGGCTTTGTTCATCGTCGTTTCCACGAGCACCACTGCTTACGCCCACAGTCACTTCGTCCATCTGCACGAAACTCATCTGATGTCTCGGACGCACGTTTACTGTGGGAGAGATAAGGTGCTTGCACCTGCCTCTGTCTCAGCGCATGAAATTCTTTGACTGACTTTAAGACACTGAATTCTTTATCTGTCACTGTACAATCAGACGCTACATTGTGATTGATTCTTGGTTCAGTTGCTCCATCGCCGTCAGACAAGCCACGTAGTTACGCATCAGTTGGGGTGTTATCTACATGGGCTCACCACGGAAAGTGTGGATCAAAATCGACCCGATCACGGGCGCGAGCAGTAGTTCTTGGAGCGGTACTTGCTGGCACATGAATGGTAGGTGGTACACCTTCGCAATACAATCAGAAGCAGTTGTTTCATTTGACCTGACTATTCACTTTCATGTACCATCTGCTTTGGGTTACTCATCATCGGTCTATTCCAACTTCTATGCAGTTTTGGATGGTTATGATACCTCATTACCACCGGATGCTGAGTATTGATAAATCGAAGAAAAACGGTTTTACGACCCACACCTTTCTGGGTCATATGTCTCTAATTTGCGCACTAAACAAGCAAGCCGATTTTCGCTTGAAGTTGAACAATTTACTACAGCGGTAAAATGACAGCATAATTGCCGAGCTCGACGGATGTGCTCAACTTCATAACACATGAAGATGTGTTGACAGCTGTTCAAGCCGACTGACTTACGCCACCCACTTTAAGGGACACTTCGGTCTCGTCACCTGTACAAATTCCGAAGAAGAAATTGGCATTCTGTACCGCTCGAAATACTTGATACTTCAAAGAAGACGTCACATAGGCATATAGACCCACTACAAATTCTTTGTTATGACTTCTTACAATGCACGCAGAAAGTACATAGGTTTACGTTCATGTAATGGTTTTGTGTTGCACATTACAGCAACTGTTACCCAGACACCAGACATTAATTCGCAGCGGATACGACGGCTTCATGTCGAACAGATGTCGCCTAGGCTAACAAGTCGCCGTTGGAATCAGTATCGATATCCAATGACGCCCCTTGATGTCCGCGACCCGCTACAAATATCTTCTTTTGCATATACTATGTTTTTGCATGTTCGTCTCTGATGACAACGTGGTAATAGTATGCCTTTATCTTTGGCTGTGTCTGTGTACCACAAGTATGCTTGTTACTCTCGTCATGCTGCTCTTTTCTGGTCATAATTACGCAGTCATTGCAGCGGGACTGCCGAAGCGCTTGTTGAAGGTCGGTGACCTTCGCTCTATACTTAGAACCAGTACGCTTGTAGCGGATCGGAATACATTCACTCCAAGAGTAAATACAACCTTAACCCAAGGCTGATAAATTCTTCTGCGTAAAACGTAAACTGTATTTCTTGAATTTATTTGCGGCAAAGTAACCTATATCTCAGTCTATAGGTTATCTATGTAGATTAACCTAATTAAACATATAAATGCTGGCAGTCCAGCCACTTACTGACTACTAGTGTAGCCGCACCATTGTGTGGTCCAACCATCTCGTGTAACGTACACTATAGCGCGATCACGTCATCTTGCCTGGCCCACATCCTTCAAACCAGGGCACGTGAAACCCCGTTATCATCATTGCTGAAACGCTCTACTATTTGTTTGAGCACATAGAAATCTGTTGCGCATCAAATACCAACCGAAATGTGCTTAAATACAAAATATTTAATAAATTCGGCAAGATTCCACACTTTTTGATGCTGTATGGATCAATCACCTCGAATCATTATACATAAATTATGCAATCGATCATTGTAGGCTTTGGCTGCAAGGAAGTATTCCACGTCGCATTTAACGTTTGTTTGTTCGAATGGTCCACGGCCCTCATTGGGACTTAAAGAAAAAATTGTAAGCATCTTCAAATCAACCAATTCGTTAAATTGATATTGCAAAAGGCACGTGTAGTCGTTTCCAAATTCAGATATGGCATCATCACTGTGTCGTAGTCGATGGAATCACAAACTGCGTGCATCTACGACTTGATCCAATCGCTCAGTGACAACACACGTGAATCTCCTCACTTAGTTTGATCGTATTTATTTACAGATTTGATGTTCTGAATGCAACGCGCACGATAAAAGTTTTGATCGTCGCTGTTTTATCAACTGCAGGTTTAGCAGCTACAGGTTTAGTAACTACATGTTTGACAAGTGCAAGTTCAGCGGACTGGCTGATATTTCGCGTGATGCCGGCACCAATTGCCTGGTGAGCTGCACTCTTGGGGAAGATGATTTTTTAACTCACTATCATTTAGCTTATATACATTGAGGAATATATTTGTCAAAAAAATAATTACAATGGTGTGATCCGATTGGCCTTAAATGATCTGTGTGCCGAACATTCCAAGAAAAGAGAATGGCGGAGTGAACATGGCAGAGGAGAAAGAGATGGAGCTGCGCTGCGGTGTGTATGGCGATGGGAGCATTTTCTCCGTCTGCGCAACGCATATGTGGAGGTGCTTCGGGAGAAGGTAGCTGGTATTTTGAGCACCGAGCAGCACACTATTCTTTCGCGGTTGTTGACGCTCTACTTGGCGAGGAAGGAAGGGGAATATTCATGTCAAGAAATTGTGCATGGTGGCTTCACTACTGAGTACGAGGAGATGTCGAATTTCACGCTCGCAGATGATGAAGCGATCCACGTACTGGTGGAACTGCTCATGGACAAGTTTGATGTGAAGCGACAGCGTGTTGAGCATCACATGTCGCTGGCAGAGCTATGGGAACACTTAGATTTGCAACTGGCGGTATTATCTGCTCCACATCAGCTGGTAGAGCTCCTCCAGAAGTCCTTACCGTTCAAGCTAATGCTGCGCGATGCAGTGGCTGCCGGTGGTGTCTTCAATACGGATGGTCCATCTCTTACATGCCCGGATCTCGCGTTGTTACTGGACAGTTTTCTGTACATGTATAGCCCTCCACCTGAAGCAAAAGCGTCGGGGAACTCATGGCAGGAGTGCTATGATGCTTTGCTCCGGATTTCGAACTCCCTGTGTCGCGACAGGGGCTTTGGACTTCGAGGATGCAGAAATGTCGCAGATAAAACATGCACTACTATTCTACGAAGGCGACCGGACTATATCCTTCTGTACAAGGGACTTGTCTTGATGCGTGGAGAAAGAAAAGTTCTCTAGTGCCAATATTTACGGCACGAGGGGAGTTAACCACCAAATGCGCCGGTGGAACGTGATGTTTTATGGAGATCTTTCGTACATATTGGGTTACGCTACGTCCAGGTATGATATACAAGTGGTGGTAATCGAAAGATCCGACGGACCGTGTCGTGCAACTATGGTTCTCGATTTCAGCGTCTTTGAGGATAGAGCTGATGCGTTGAAGGTATTTTACAACTTGGCGTTGTTGCTATACTAGATGGCCAAGTTGACGACGCAATCGTATGCGTGTGATTTGGAGCCATTCGTACCCGATGAAATCGAGAAACGGAAGATCGTGCTGCTAGATGATTTTATCGAACAGACGATCAAACGTACGCAGAGCGGTGGTGAAATGAATGAAGAGCGGTGGTGAAATGGACTTTGAGCGACTCAATAGCGCATACGAGATTCTGCGAGGATTGGACGAAGGCAGCCCCATCACACATCTGCTGACCGTGGAAAAGCTGATCGTGAAGCGAGATGGCCGTTTGGTTGTGGAATTGTCTCTGGTTAGTTATCTGCGGCCTCCAACAATTGATGAGTTGAGCGAGTGGTTGCAACATATGCTGACTGCGTTGAAGCATTGGCATGGGCGCGGGTGATATCCGATGGCGTAACATTGTGTTAGTGCCGATCCTGGGGTCAGCTATTGGGTGTTGATCGACACGGACGAGTCACGTCAACCCAACATAACGACTATTCGGTGACACCATCGGTATCATGGTTACAAATTACGAATTCAGCACGACTTATATCAGCTTGGTCAGCTGATGTGGAAGCTTCCCTTCAAAGTATCCGACGATCCGAAGACTATGCAAGCGATACTTCTATCGGCGGTAGATACGCTGGAGTTGACGGCAGAAGCTGCGCACAACGCTGGAGGCGTACACTCGAGCTACTCATTCACAACGGCTTTCCAATCCGGTTTCAATATGATGTCGTATTTAGTAAAGGTGCTGTGGTGCTGAAATCTAATGGTGACTTGACGAATTGTGGGAACGCTGATTTCCGAGCCAACCTCGTAATGCACTGACAGACCAAGCTCCCAATTTCCATTTCTTTGTCTCTTTTTTCTACGCTGGACATACTCACCAGCAGACTCAATCGTATCCATAGCGGAGGTATCAAAAACACGATGAACAAAATTCGTTGATTCTTTCACATGTATGTGCTCAATCACACAACGAGTGGGAACATCACCTTTGTGGTCAGTTGTACCCGTTGACCCCCAGTGTCCATCTTCTGCATCTCTAGGCCATCACAATATCCGACTGATCCACTGTATTAGTGGGAGTATTGGCATATCCAGCCACACTCGATTCCTTCGACTTTCTAATATACACATGTCGACAACATTCTTCTGTCGTGAGGGAGGCAACAACCGGCATCTCTCCTTCACAAATTTTTTTGGTTGGGCACATTGTCATTCCCATCAACGATTCAATCGTTATTGAATGGCCAGTTCCGAACACCACTTGACCTAACGACACATTTCCTGAGTGATCACCCGCGGTCAATCCATACAAATTCGTAAATTCTCTAAGCTGTCAATGTCAATTGCATGAAATATTTCAACGAAATGTGGATCATTTCCAGCAGCATACAATTACCGAGCTTTTGAGCTCTACTTTTGGTGCACAGTGAAAGTGGGTTCATTACCTCCAAAATTTCCACCACGCCACGAGAGCTATTCCCAATCGTTTCCGATCGCCAATCCATCCTTGAATCGTCCTTCTAAAGCCACGGTATACCTAAAATCAGATCATATTTCTGTCCATCTCGAGGACTGTGAATGCCTCCTTCGAGTTTAAGTCCTCAACCTTCAGCTGAAAATCAAATATATTTTTTTCGCGGTGAGTGGTCAACAGCACTGAGATAGAGTCATTGCTTTTATCTAGTGCATCCAAAAGCACTAAATCATTTCAGCAACACTTTTCTCTCACGCGTAGTTATGCGACGCGCCGGAGCCAATCAAGACTCGAAACGAATGATTGTAACTCTTCACACTTGCTGTTACCACGAGGAGCCACTCCGACTCGTGTCATTAACACAGGACAACGATCCTTCGACGGCTAACCCCTCATTAGAAATTCTACCACCACGCCTGCAATAGCTTATAACTGCCCCAGTAGACCGCCCTGTATTTACTGGGCTCCGTAAAGCCTCGTAGTATTGGTACGACGTGACTCGGGGCCATTACGACGACAACCGTATTGAGAGGTTCGTTTTTCACATAAACAATCATGGTGGATGTGAAAAAAATTATTGACATCATGATAGCAAATCTGCTGACTACCGACAGTCACCGCGCTTGGATCCATTGGCTCCGGAATTCCGGTAGCAGCAGTCACTGCTTCCATTGGGTTGACCGATTGACCACATGTCTGAAGCTGACAGTAGTCCTCAAACAATACAATCATAATTAAATCTGCCTGACTTTGGCGTAAGCCTTCGACCATAAGTTAGTCCCTCCAAAAACACTGTGACCATCACTACGTCCGGCAGTGGTTTACTTGCCATACTCGCACGAAGCTTTTGTGAATAGACGAACAATGTGCCGTTGTCTTGACGGCATTACCGAAACTTTGGCCGATATCGAAATACCACATTCGGTAGATAGAACATCGATTTAAGGGCCTTTTTCAACTATTGCCATGTGGCAAAGTAGTCAGGGCGATTGACTACCCACATCATCGCCCACTCCTTCGCACGGCTATCCAAATACGACATGAAAAAGGCCACTTGACCAAGGTCGTTCCGAACTTGAGCCATCGTGAAAGCGATGTCCATTCTTGCGTTTGACCCCAGAGCTTAAAGATATTGTGCTGCCGGATTTCATCTTCTTTCATGTGAAAGCTTATCACTTTGATTTTCACGGGACGTTCCGTGTGAATCGACAGTGTCACCACCACTTGTGCGAAAGGTGACAGAACCGGCGTCGGTATGTCTACAAAAAACCCAATAATGCTTGCTCATACGCAGCAACAGTTGCTAAGCGTTGATTTATCGCTTCTTGATCTCATTGGAGCATATCGGAGACCGCGTGATCTCCGATTGGAGCTTGCAACTCCATTACACACTTCCATTGCGAGTGTGTTAGGAGTGAAAACTTCTCCCTGTTGATTCGAGAACAAACACCGCTTTGGTGTCCACATTATCCATCGATAAACTCATCGAAGTAGTTGGCGTTGGAATGGCTACTAGCACTACCAAGTGTAACGGGATTGCCCGTCCGTTCGCATACATTAGAAAAAAAACTTTCAATCGCACACTAACGTGTTATCGATATCTATACGCTTTCCTGAGGATGGCTTAGGTCAGCTGACACGCTTCACCGCTTGTTGCTTGCTTCCACCGGGCCGCTGGCATACATACTGAGGAGAAAAAAAATGGAGTGACATTTATTATAGCAAATAAGCCTTGAACCTTCCCTGAGCTGATAAGTGCCTTCAATTCTGACAAAATCGAATAAAGAAATATAAGACATACAGAATACGTAGTTAACGTTACCACACACATAGTAAGTGGCTCACACAATATGTGTAAGTTTTCAACGGTGGATTAGGACTGACACCGATATTCACGCTATAAGCCGCAAGACATTTAGGCATGAAATCGCCTTGACATATGAATTAAATGCAGTTCCTCGTTTGTTTACTCTGGCGCTTCAACTCTCTGCACGTTCATTTAGCTGCCTTGGTTATCTGTATGCAAAGACGAATGACCCCTGAGTATTGAAACTTGCTTTACGCGTATGTGCGTGACTGCGCACTACTCATTGTTCCTCAGACTGAAACTGTTTACGCAAGTCATGACATAAATTGTTTTCATCTGGCAAGGCTGAAACTGTAACGGGGTTACACACATCCTGGTAACAGGGGTGTGCGTCACATGAGATGTGCATGGTGTGACCACACCCAAACAAGAATACGGTACGGGGCTAGGTAACCAGTACTTATACATGTTTTTAAATTTCACTATGTATATTTAGTATATTTTGACCGAAGAGTCAATTAGCCATGGAAATGCAATAATTTCTCTTGGAGTAAGCGGATTGCGATCCGCTAACTCATACTTGGTTCTTGTAAAGAACGAATGGTCGGTGACCTAAAGTACTCTTCTTCAAGCGCTAAGCTTCGGTAGCTCCGCTGCACTTGGTAGCACTTGTAGTCAATCTACACCTGAGTCGTTAAGACTGATCCTCTGTGAGGATGAAGGAATTTTCCTCTTTGCCCCAGGGCAGGCAGGACGAGTTTAACATGCTGAAGTCCGTGCTTGGCCCATAGGGCGTACAACACCTTGCAGCACAAGGTCCCAAGGCAATCGGTGCGCGTCTAGAGGCGTTTTCAAGTTACGAAAACGCGCTTTAGTGCAGCTGCAGCAGAAGATGTCGGCATCGTTTGCGTCCATGACGCCACCGTCAGTGACGGATGACTTCCCACCACCTAAGCCGCTCATGGTGAGCGTTAAGGTCTTTGAGGGGGAGGTGGAGAGAATCATCTGCTCTGGGTGAGAGAGGTCGAGATGGCCAGCGCATCCGCCATGTCCAAACCGAGCAGCAGCGCGTAGCGCTAGCCGTCGCTAAGCTCCGTGGTCGAGCGCGAGAATGGATACTGACGTGCGGCACTTAGGTCGGAGCTGCGTTTCCCTCCTGAGCGGAGCTGATATTGCAGCTCTCACTAGTGTTCTCGCTGTCTGATCAGGCGTATCGCGTGTGATCGCGTTTCCTTGCCGCCCGACAGGGCAACAAGGAATTGGTGGGCTTTGTCCACGATATGCGAACTCTCATTGCCGGGATAGCAGCAGACCCCCTCCCGAAGGCGGTCACAGTGACAGTCTTTATGGAAGGCCTCCGCACTGGTGTGGCCAGATTGGAAGTCTTCCGTGTGCATCCGTCTTTATTTGAAGAGGCAATGAATGTGGCATTTATGGCCAATTCAATTTCAGGTCGGCACGATTTGGTTAGAATGTACACTCCAACAGCTCGTCGAGCGGGCCTATGCTCATGGGTCACAGCTATGCTGAGGTCGAGGGAGCAGGGCTCCGAGCTTCCAGGCAGCATACACACATTCGACGGTGTTTTGTCTGTGGAGACAACCGTCACCTTTGAAACGGTTGCCCCCTATGCAAGACGCGTCAAGGCTCTCCGAACCATCGCCCTAACGCCTATCGGTCTGGCTCGTCGCGGGGAAACGACGCCACTCAGTAGGCGCGGGGCGACCTACTCGGGAAGTACTGAAGTCTGTTGAGCCTTAGGGAGGCATAAGTCAACAGGGCCCAGCCCCGAAGAGCTCCGTGCTCTTGAAAACGGAACGTTTGTGCAAGCCGGGCTTGCTGGTTGTGGAGGCGACCGTAAAGGACTTCGAGAAAGCA